TGCAAACGGATCCCAAAGTTCACAAGTGCAAGTTGATAAGCAGACACAAATTTCTTTGCCTTATAACCCCTCGTGCCTATATATACCCCTCGTGATCAATTTTTCAAGTGCCCCTGCCTCTCTTCATTTCATTTGACTTTTTCTGAAGGTTGTAGCCTCTGTTTCATCAGCTCTGCAATCATCCTTTTCCATTAGGTTCTTGGTAAGTTTTTCTGTTTATTTTCTGCTGAATTCAACAGGGCTCTAACCATTTTAGCATTTCTTCATCTGGGCCTTTCTTATTTTTGGCTAACTATATCTTGATTTGCATGTTGGCCATTTTGCAGAAAAGAATTTGCTTCTACATTCTAGTTACTATCAAGATTCAATTTTTCTGACAAGGGTCCTTGATTTTAGGTGAGCTCGTAGCTGTTCTTTCTTAAAAATTGTGACTTTTTCTTGATGTTTGAAATGTTGGCTTATACGCGGTCTATTTTATGGAGGCAATTTGTTAATTTTGTGCCTGCAATTTTGCATGTTTTGCCTTTCTGCTGAAAAACCCTGTGTGTATGTTATAGTTGTTTCAAGTTTCATTTTTCCAAGAAGGACCCTTGCTAAGGTGAGTTTTTAATGGCCATTTCTTGAAATTACATTATTTGATGTGGATGATTTCGTCAAGAATTGTTTTTGTTGGTATTGTTGGATGACTTAATTTTGATAAAATTTTGTGGGATGTGAAGATTTTTGTTGGATTGATGGCGGTGAAGACAAATGGATTTGTTGAAGGGTGTTTGCCTGAGGAATTGTTGAAGTTGCTGTTGACTCTGGCTTCAACTTGGACAGATGTAATTGATGTGAATGCCTTTAAGGTGATTCCACTGAAGGGGGCCATGACTAATGAGGTTTACAGGGTAACTTGGCCTACAAAAAGCAAAGATAATACAAGAACAGTTTTGGTTCGTGTTTATGGTGAAGGTGTTGAACTTTTCTTCAACAGGGATGAGGAAATCAGGACTTTTGAGTGTATGTCGATCCATGGTCATGGACCTAGGTTGCTCGGACAGTTTTCTGATGGAAGAGTTGAAGAGTTCATTTATGCTAAGGTTTGTTGAACTTTGTCTAGAGCTACTTTGAAGCTCATACTTTTTTTTCCGAGTTTGTAAAGAATTAGAACTATGACCGGAAATTGTTACAGTTATGATAGCTAATTGAAAGATAATGTTATCTATCTGATGCAAGTCTGATTTTGTTGCTAGTTCTGCACTTTTAAAGATCTGGAAGTCCTATACACCGGTAAAAGACTTTGACACTTGTCAGCAGTATTAAATCTAAAATTTAATGCTAAAATCTAGCATTTTCTATTGGAAAGTGTTTTAAAGCATCTCTGATTGTGTAGATGCTTAAATAGCATCTCTGGACTGCAACCTCATCGCAATAATTATTTGTGCTGTTCTGATGAGCCCAGAAAGATAGATTAGTTTTTGCTTGACTCTAATAGCTGTAGTATGTGGAGCTTTTACCAATCTGGCTCATTATTTTGGCAAAATTGACTAAATAGGAAAAGTGAATAGGTTGGCAGTGACTTAAATTTTCAGGACCTGTATGATTACTGGTTTTTGGAATTACCTTAACTAATTGAGTAACGTAAAGCAGTAGACCGTAGCCTGACACCTTCGTCTTGCTAATCTTTCTTCCTTAAATGATGGTTTGCTGATCTAAGTGCTCTGCTCAATTTCTCTTGGACTTTCAGACTCTATCAGCTGCTGACCTCCGTGACCCTGAAATTTCTGCTCTCATAGCAGCCAAATTGAGAGAATTTCATAAACTTGATATGCCTGGTTCAAAGAACGTTGTGCTGTGGGGCAGAATGAGGTATTACCTGACTACTTAAAATTGAATATAGGGCTTTAGAAAAAGAAGTTCCTCTATTACTGATATTTCTTGTTCCTCAGAAACTGGCTAAGGAAAGCCAAGAGTTTGTGTAACCTAGAACATGTGAAGGAGTTTTGGTTGGAGAAGTTAGAAAAAGAAATTAGCATACTGGAAAAGGAGCTGTCCCAGGATAACCAAGAAATCGCTTTTTGTCACAATGACCTGCAATATGGTAACATAATGATTGATGAAGAGACCAGATCAATTACATTCATCGTAAGTGTCTGCTTTGGTTTCTGCTCTATTTTACTTCTTTTTATAGCCAATCTTAGTTTTATTTTGAATTCGGACACTGTTATTTGTAATTGGGTTTTTCTGAGTTTTTATGTGGTGCTTTGTGGGAAGTCGTCAAGGTTCTTTTCAGGGATATCAATTAAATGAAAATTTTCTTTTAACTGAACGTTAGATGACTGATATCTTGCAAAGAAGTAATTACATGTATGAAGTTAAGTGCAATGAAACCATGCTAATCTTTAAGCTTCGGTATTCATCTTATGGTTGGCAAACACTTGACATCATCTGGTTTGAAGATACTTTCTGCTTTGGAGGGGTGGGGGTGTCAGGTTGGAAAGGTAGAGTTGTGCGTTTCGTAGACACTTATCATGACTTGCAAAATTAGCTCTTGCTGCTTCTTCTTACCAGAATATTTTAAGGTTTATTAAGCACAGCGGAAGTATGTGAGAATGACTGCAAACAAACTCCAGTGAGAAAGGCCTCTCCTTTATCTTATAGCTTGACTGTTTCCATTTTACAGGACTATGAGTATTCTAGTTACAATCCAATTGCCTATGACATCGCAAATCATTTCTGTGAGATGGTGGCAGATTATCATACCGACACTCCGCATATTTTGGACTACAACAAATACCCTGGTAAGTTAAAGTTAATAAGTGATGATTTCTGTAATTCTTCATTTACCGTTTCCATCATGTATGTTAGGAGCAATCTGCAAAGCATGAAGATATTTACTTTGTCATCCTTATTTTCGAAACAGGTCTGGAGGAGCGCCAAAAGTTTGTACGTGAATATCTAAGTTCTGCAGGTTAGTCTAATTTGCTCCTATCTTATTTGTTCAGTGTGACAAATGAGAACCTGGATGTGGAAACTCCTGTTATCTACCTTAATCTGCCTAAATTGTGAAATCTTGTAGAATATGAAGCAATAGCTTTTAGGTTTAGAAACTAAGAGTTGATAGAAAGCAGTAAAATTCAAAGCTTAGGCTCATGTACCTAACAGGCCAAGTTAGACACATTGGCCTGGGTTCCATAGATGATTTTTACTGCAAACAACAAAATATCAATTGTCAACTTCATAATTTCTGCAAGTAATAGAGCCCTGCCCTTACAATCTCTTGCTTACATAGCCAATTCCTTTTGAATGGATATCCAATTTCCTTCAAGCTACCTAAAAGTCAATGACCATGCAGCTCAATATACTTGTGTGGGTTATAGTGACCCACGTTTTAGGTGACAACAAAATCAATCCTAGTTTTCTCCACCTATTTATACTCATCCGGTCGTAGCATTTTGTCTAACATAATTAATAGGCTGAAAGTGACCTGTTAAATGGTTGATGTACAATTCAATGGTAAGCTTTGATTGTTTCTAGTAATAGCTTGATGAGCCTTTTTTCAAGATAATGACAGCTTTTGACAAGTTCATTGATGATTTTCAGGCCATGAACCTACTGATGCTGAAGTCAAGCAGCTCACCATCAACGTGGAGAAGTACACTCTTGCAAACCATTTGTTCTGGGGATTATGGGGAATCATTTCAGTAAGTATTTTGAAGGGTTTGATTTTGCTGTTTCATTTGCCTGCTTTGACGGAGAAAGATACCAAGTACATGAAAACTTTTTTTTTTTTTTTTTGGTTTGGTGTTTGGATTTGCAGGCATATGTCAACAATATTGACTTTGATTACATGGAGTATGCAAGGCAGAGGTTTCAGCAGTACTGGCTCAAGAAACCCAAGATTTTAGATATCTCAGTAGACTCATTGTGTGAAACCAATGATTCAGCAGCAGAACTTAAAATTTAGTTTTCCTCTCCTTTCCTTTTCCTATAGTTTCAAATCTTGTATAGTTTATATGTATTTATAACTGTTGCAATATATCAATGCAACATCTCATCCGGTTGACTTTTTTGTCATGTTGGGTGAGCCCAGAGGGAACATAATTATAAGGAGCACATGGTCAAAACAAGAAGTAATCAATCAAATGGACCATTTGTTATAGTAACTTAATTAAGAGTGTCGGCACAGAAATTTATTCTCCTCCGCCCAATTAGCAAATCATCGATGCTCGTAGACATGCCAAATTGACATTTTGAATATCTTAATATGCTCTGATTGCCAAGAATGAGAACAAAGTTCTTTTGTAGAGACGACAAATGGTAAAGAAAAAGCTAAATGCAATTCTAGTATAATCATCAGTCATTATTACTTCAGATTAAAGCTCCCAGTGTCCACACTTGCTGCTTCGTTCATGACGACTGATAAGCGTGTAAATTTACTTAAATGTGCAAAATATGGATTTGGGGCAGGGACGGTCATACTGATGACCGTCCCTGCACGGTTAAGGGCCAAGATTTGCCCTCAAAATTTTGTGCGGCTGAGATTACACCATGTAACTCAATTTTCGCGTCAAGTGTGGGGCCCACCACTATCTGTTCTGAAAATACATTCTGTAAAAAAAAAGTTACATCGTGTGTAAATATCATCCGTCCGCAGGTCCTACAAGCCGCCAGCCTTGGTCTTGTGTCCTCCTTTCATTTATCAGTCTGCAGGGTCAATATCACATATATCCCCACCACCGACGAAGAAGACTTTTAGCTGGAATCAGCAATAAAGTCGACATCAGAATCTCTTGCGTATTTTTATTTTTTCTTCTTTTTCGAGTGGATTGATAACCTAACGAAGTAAACCAACTACTCTTGGAGTAATTAGCCGCCAAGAGAGGTTTAGAACTCTACTTGGTCAAGGGATAAAATGCACCCGTTCGGATTCTCCTTGAGTCTCTTCAGGTTCTCCCCTCCCCTTAGTATAGAATAAGTGTAGGTTTATCGTATCCCGAAAAGAAAAAAAAAAGAGATAACCTAACGAAGTAGGGGTTGGAAGGACAATAATTTAAGTTTGGTCCACCACAAGGATCAAAATATAAATTCTTTGGCGAAATTGAAGCAGGATTCAAGAGGATAGACCAGACATAGAGCGAAGATTTTCAATGATGGAGTCTATAGCAGAATGAGAACCCTTTGTAGCTGCAAACAACAGGTGTTTAGGAGCTTCAGCTCTGTCGAAGTATAATGATCCTGGTACTAGTTTTTCTTTTGGCTGCAAAGCTAACCACACCACTGTATCTGCACCTTCCTGGCTCGTTCTAAGTTTTCCAGACATCCTGAAAACATGGTCATGGAAAGTCACTGAAAAAGAATAATTAACCAGAACAGATAGTGGATCCGTGATAATAACAATACAAGGAGTGGTGCAAAAGTCTTACGAATTCGAGAAACCGGGCAAACTGCTGGCAACTCCAGGAGTCTCTGCCCACCCAGGGTGCATTGAATAGAAAGCAATACCTTTGTCCTTGTAAATTTCAGCCCATTTTTCTGTCAGTGCAACCTGCACAAGAGAAAATACATATCATCATGCTTAAAGGAGCAGTTCTGGACTTTTTTTTTTTTTTTTTTTGTAGCTGCAATTTCTTTTTATCTTTGTGTTTCATATTAAAATAACTTTAGATGCAAGAACCGGATTTCATGATACGATGCTCTACACATTCGCTGACTTGCACATAACGCAAAATGTAGAGAGTGAGAGATAGTGTGTGCCTGTTGGGGGTGGAAGGGGGGAAGAAACTGGAATTAGGAAAAAGGGAAAAAGGAAAAAGGAACAGGTTGCACAGGAAAATAAATAATAGTTCAGGCAACTAGCCTGCCTGTAACATGATCTATTAGCCCAACACAGGGCAAGGTTGTATGCAATAAAATGATCAAAATGTAATAATAAATGTAGTAGTAGAATCAAAGCATGTGCTGGTATATTGGACATCCTAAAATGACAGAGAATGTGATCGAAAAAATCTCTCCATTATAGGGCATACAGTATTACGTGCACAGGATATCAGCGGTCACAATGAAACATAAGCAAGGAACTAATGAGATAAAATCAAGCAACATGAACCAATCACCATTGCAGTTAAATTATAATCAACTGCTTTCTAAACGTTACTAAACTTGTGAATTCCCTAGTCAGCAAAACCATAGCGACAATGACCCCAAGGTCAAAGTCTAAAACTTGCAGAAAGCAATGAAACAAATCAGTGGATTCATAATTTGGGAATCATATTTCAACAAGAAATAGATGCTATTTTTCAGAATGGAGAATAATAGGGAAGATTGCATTTCATTTGCAAAAACTATTCCGCTGTACCTGCACTCGCTTGTTCCGTGCATATTGTTCCACACCATTAAAGTTGTTATTGCTAAACTGCAAAGACAATATATCAGAACATATAGAGGTGTCAATCTTAAGGAGAGGCATTCAGAGTGGTTCCTACCTGTAGATCTTTCATCAAAGGGGCTGTGTACATTCCACCTGAGGAAACTGTAATAACACGAGCATCAGGCGCAGCTTTCTCCAGTAAGGGCAGCATCAACTCTGTCAGAGTGTATGCGCCAAGTACATTAACAGCAAAATTGAGCTCATATCTGGAGACTTAAAACAAACACCAAAATTCTCAGTTCACTGTAGTGATTGCAAGTTCTTTAAAGAAAATTGACAAACGGTATACCCTTCTGGAGTTGTCACACGCCGATTTTCAATTAAACCAGCATTATTAACCTTCAAAAAGCAAAGTTTTTGGTTAGCACGCATTCAATAGAAGAAAGGTCAGAGAGCTGAATACTACAGTCCAAGTACATAGGAACTTCCAAACAACAGCAGGATTACGGAGGAGGAAAAGGAGATCAATAATTTACCAGAACATGGACAGGGACATCCTTTGAAGAAAATCTGGAAGTAAATGACTTGATTTCGATGATGGAAGAAATATCACAGACCTGCATCAATAATGGATAAGCCACCTATAATAATACGAAACAATGTAATTCTTCGTTTAGCATAAAATGCATTGCAAAAACAACTACCTCCAAATAAACATTTTTACTGCCAGTTGCCTCCTGAATTTTTGAAAGGGCAGCTTCACCCCTCTCCTTGTTCCGGCATACCATATACACATTAGCCCCACTGGCCATATATCAGACATTATTAATATTATCACCAAACCATTCCAAAAGTTTCTAAAATTTCAAGAAGAGCAACAAATCATAAAAGATAAAACAAGAACACATGGAGCCAAAATGCGCACCGTGATGCAAGACCCTCAGCAGTAGCATAGCCAATGCCAGAATTTGCACCAGTGACAACACAGTTCTTGCCTTCAATTTTTGTTTGCATATCCTCTGGATTAAATTTCTTTGAATGTTCTCTGAATTCATCAAAACCCCAAAGATTTAATTATCTGCATATATGTCGCTATTACATATAATGCAAGTGCTGAATTTGAAATTTCATATGAATAATGAGATATGATTTGTTCTCCACAAACATAAGGAATACACAAATTTACGGGTGGAGATAGACTAATCAACTGATCAGAAAGTTTAACCGTATAAAATCTCAGAAACACACATAAACTGATGCCATACAGGATAAATTCTCTCTTGACCATAGGTAGGCTCAGTTAATCTTAACTGGCGCTAAGGTTTTTCATACGTTCATTCGAGAATTGAGAAAACTACACATCAAAAACTCAGGACACTGCTAAAGGTTTTTTTTTTTTTTTTCCGGTTATAACAGAAATCAGTTTATCAGTGGATAATTGGGGAATTGAAAACTTACATGAAACCAGATTTTGTGAAATTCATGTACCCAAATAAGCCAAAAGCTGTTGCTCTCCATGTCTACAAGGTCAGTGAAAAACCAGAGAGAAAACATCAAAAATCTGAATTCTAAACGAATGAAATGGAATTGAAAACAAAGAATAAAAAGCCCAGAAAGGAAATTTTGCATACCTTGAGAAGAAACATGGTAAGACAAGAATTTGAAGATAGAAAAGTGGTCTGCAGTTTCCCATGATTTGGGATGTCTAAGAAAGAAAAGGGCGTCGCTGAAAATGCTTTGTCAGCCAATCTATGGATTTATTTTCAGCCACGTAGACTTCAGCTACACGGCTGACTTAAGAAATTGTAAGCCAATTGTTTATACTAAAAAAAGTTTGACATCTATATTCAATAAAGGCAGAGAAAATGGTTTGGCATAAACATTTTAGTGTCACTACTTTCATTCTCATGGAAACTACTTTCATTCTCATCTATATTCAACCTTAGCATTTTATTCAATAATTTTACTTTACTTACCTAAACACTTGTGGTTAAGATAACTACCCATAAGCATGTTTTAATTTACTATTTAAGCATATTGTTTTTAATGTAACCACCCTTAAGTAACTACCAACATAACAATCATTTTATCAAAATAATTTAGAAAATCAAAATTTTCTTTATCACTAAAAATTTGTACATAAAATTCATTCGCTATAAATATTATGTATTTCTTTATTACACACACGTTGAATGAGTGTGCATTTATCACTAGTTTATCTAATAATACGAGTCCACGGGTTTTTTCACACAGGTGAAAATGGCATACCCATGAGCAATAGTAACAGAATTTGATTGTTTACTAAAATTTCCTAGTTTATGAAAACTAAATTTTTATTTGTAAAAACTAATTTAAAATATTACATTTACATTGTCTCGACAAAATATTTACGTTTCAGAGGCTAAAATATGAATTTTGTGCCTAATATATGTTTCCTTTTTACACTAAATAACTAATTATAGTTGTTACTATGGCCATGGTCAGTTAACATCTAAATCGGTTTTTTGGTGATTCTGTAATGAATAATAATTGTGTCCGTACAAATGGCACAATTAAGAGAGAATTTTTTTTTTTTTGCACCAAAAGGTTACAACATGTGGTGCTTGTTTGGAATTGTCAAATTTTTACCATATGTATAAAATAATAGAAAGATAATATTGTGCTTATTCAGATTGATAAAAAAAAAAAAAAAAAATTAGCTTTGCATCATACGAGAGCCCAAAGGAAAACAAGAAGAAAACGTAAACACTAGAAGATAATATTGGTTAGATGCTCTCGTTGAATATAGAATAGAAGCGAGGAAAATCGGGCACAGTTAATATCTTGTTGAATGCTCGTTGAATATAAACTTTCAATTTCAAAAGAAGTACCACTCTTGTACGGACTGGATGCCGGTGTTGTTGTGTTTAGTACCACTGGATCCATCCATCTGATTATTTTTAAATTTTTGGTGTGTTTTACTCTTTTTTTTTGTCAACGGAGTGGGTGTCCGGGTCAAGTCCGTAAAGGCGGCCCGACTAATCCCACTTCGGTCCGGCCCAGCGCCCTAACCAGACCTAGCACGTTAGATGCACGGAGAAACCGATGTTGCTGCGGAGGTTCGACCCCAGGACCTGACGGTCCCGAGGAAGAGGCGCCAACCACCAGCCCATTCACATGGGGGCTGGTGTGTTTTACTCATATACATCACTTTTGTTGCTACGAGTACAATAATATAATGTAATTGTACATCAAATATTGTAACAGGTACAACAGCTAAATCGAGCGAATCACGTGCAACAAATTGTTTATAATCATCAATTTACACAAAATTGTACTACTTACCAATTTATTTTGACCAATTATGTACAAACTTCCCAAATCCTTCCTAAATTTGACCAATTGTAATTCAAGAGGTGGATGATAATTTTGAAGTTTTGATAGTAGGCTCACTTTCTTTTCTTCTGTGACTGAATAGAAGAAAAAAAAAAACATAGGTAAATTACAAGTTCATAATCTATCAACCAGGGCTGAGAACTAAAACCTCACTGGTTCATTTTAGAATCTGGAAATGATGTGATATGGCACAATTTTACTTTGGTCTGCAACGAAAGCAACAAAGCCAAGTAATTAGAAAAGAATGACACAAAAAAAAAAAAAAAAAATCCGTGCCAGTGAAAAGTTTGCCTTAGATTTTAAGTTTTAGCAGCAGCAGAATATAGCAAGTACATTCTACTCATGATTATGCTTTGCACAACAGCAACAAAAATTGCCAAAGGAAATCCAAGAGCAGACAGTCAAAATCAGGGTTTCTAGCAGAGACCAGGATTATCTCAAAACCTATTGCGTATGATTTCTCAAGAGGTATGACAATGGAGCTGCAGAATCACATCTACTTGCTAAGAAACGAAGAAAAGACTGATCTCTCTGCATAGAGGTTAATATTGACATAGAATGGGAAGACTTGAAAAGACAACAGGAATATACAGACAAACATGTGACCTCTAACTGCACAGTTAAAAGAATCAAAAGAATATGGTATATACGTAGCTTATGATAGCTGACTAGGGAGTTACATAACTCAACAACCTCTATTGCGCCTTATTCTCATCGACCCCAGTAAGAGATATCCTGCATTGGTAAATACAACCATGAGAAGGAAAACAGAAAACAATTTGCCAACGCCAGAGCGCGCATTGATGGCACGACTTGCTTATATACAGACAGACTACAGTTGCCAGAATCAGGAAAGGAAGTTTCTTGTGCAAATTGGCATATCATTCGAATAAAACTGAAGAAAAGAGCAGTTAATAGCTTTATTTGGTAATGAGTACAGCTCCAACGTACGAATCCAACGTGATGACTTTTTAAGAGGACAAACATCAGAATGATACAAAAATGGGTGAAACTAGAGAAACAAATGTGGAATAAGCCCAGACCATCATGCCTGTGAAAGAAAAAGATATATAGAGAAATATAATTATACAATCAGGTTCTTCTCTGTTACTCTCTTTACAGAGTAAAAGATTTCAATTGAGGATGCGATGCAATAAGGCATCATAGTAGAGAGATAACTGGGTCAATAATCCTGGTCATGTGTTGGGCTTACTGGAACAGAAACATGCCCACATGGGATAAATAAATACTTTACTTTCTCTTTTATTAGCTTAAGATATTTGATGGGGATAGTCAATAATAAATCATATAGGATGTGCAGCAGTACTTACCTCTCCCACATTAGTCTGCTCATTCCTCTATCAACACTCATATCTGAGATTATGGGCTCTTCTTCAATTTCTGCATCAGTGAAAGTGAGGGCACGTTGCAATTTCTTTGGAGAAAATACCTCCACTTCAACCATGTAAGAGGCAGTTACAGGCCGGTGATCTGAAAACTTAATCTCATTCCTTCTATAGCTTATTAACCTCATGCCCTTTCCAAATGAGAGTACTCGGTCACACCTGGAGAAGCCAATATAGGAAAGTCAAAGGTTGAAAAATGAATTAATCCAGAGAGGTTTGCACAATGGTTTCAGTCTACATGTTAAAGCCAGGTTAAGGATAGGAGGTCAATATATCCAAGCTAGCCTCAGAAGTATGTACTACATAGTTGTTGACCAAGGCAAGGAACTTGAAACTTACAAGCTAGTGAAGCTCGGAGCTAACTGCCGCATGATCTTTGACAATTCACACACATAAACAATGAAAACTTTAAAAAGATGAGACACTCTATGTGAGCAAGTGAAAATATGCGTGCCTACATTACTTAATAGGATAAACTTTCTTCTAACAGGTCTCTTGTTATTTAGACACATTTTTTAACAAAGAGAAGTCATACACAATGGTAAAAATAAGCATGTTGACCAAAGCTGAATTTGGCAGGAAAATGTGAATTATCTACTTATATGCTTTTTCCCCAAACAGAAATGATGTGTATCCAGCTGATTGATGTGATATCTCCCTTTTATTCTAGGTGCTATGCTATATCCACGTCTCATCCTATCATGAACATTCCTGATATATTTATTTTGACACAAACAATTTTCTATTAAAGAAATTGATTATTGCTTCTATAATGAGACAATGATCCGGCTCTGTAACTCTTTATGAAATTCCTTCTCCCAAATTGGCAATTAAATCATTTGCAGACCAATAAAGCCAGCATGTCATGCTGTTGCAATGCATTGCAGTTGTTTTTGAGCACTTCTATGGCACTTAAAAAATGTGTTATTGAGAAAAGGATTTACTGCAGAGCACATAAAAGACCCAACTTTGGTATATCATCATCCCAAATTCATCTTTCTTTTATGTTTACCCCATGTCCATAGCCATGCTTATTAAAAGGACGAGGAGGTGAAAATTAAAAAGAAAAGAACAGGAGACAGATTAAACGGATACACAACCCTCTGCATCTTATCCTCCAAGGATACGGTGTCTAAACAGGGATAGATATTAATTTAATGAACAATTGCCTGATGATCAGCTAAACAATGTAAAACCTTTCAGTGGTGCACTGAGTGCATCTGTTATCAGAAGAGGACATATCTAACTGGAAGCAATTAATATCAATGAATTACAACCACAAAGATATTCTTAGTAAAAGTAGAACCAAAGCAATTAGATAGATAGAACTTTAAGTGCATACCATGCGGGAGTACGTCTTCCTTTTGGATCATCGCCAATGTACTTTTCTGAATTGATCTCATATTTATAAGTTGGTGCAAAAGTCAGGATACCTTCTGACCATCCATCAAATGCACGACCTTTCCTCAGCTCTTTGATAAGCTGCCAAAAGATGAAGATGTAAATGGTTAAAACATATACTGACTGACAAAGTGACACAGGATTCTATTGGTGTTGCAACTGACTATCTTGTGAGTCAACCTACACCAAAAGTTATGCTATTGAACTTATTAACATTGCTCTTAAAGATAGTGATCCATTCATCTTTCACAATTTACTAATGGAAATCCCTCCTAACTCTTCTTTCTGTTCAGCCATACCAAAGTGACGCTGTAGATTTGTCAGTTTTCACCAATACCACAGACCTCAAAGCAATAGACATTATTCTTCTTTTCCTTATAGCACTAGCGATTACTACAAGAAGTGGACAATAGATGGTAAAGTAAATTACCCTAATTTCTCATTAAGACACACAAAGCACCAGCTTTAGTTAAAGTTTATGTCCCTTCTATTGAAGATATAGTATCCTAAATGTCAATGTTGTTTAAATCATAAGTAAGGTATAAGCATAATTCAAAAGGATATATATATATATATATCCATATTAATCACAGGCAAAATCATATTGTTATGCAAAGGACGGAACATCCAATAGTTCACTTATGTCATTATGCAGCATGAATTGTACAACTTTACCTGATCACTCTCTCTTAAATTGGACCAGTTCTTTTTCAAGAGTAGCTGTCTTGTTGTCTCATATGACAAGTTGATGCGGTAGTTTAGATCACCCAGCCATATGATTCTCCTGGAAGGAAACAAAAAATAGTAATAAGCTGATTTGTTTTGCGGTATTAAAAGAATGAAGAATTAAAAAGAAGCACAGAATGGGCATCAAGTAGAACATATTTGATTGCATGTGGTATTAGGTGATTTTACCGGAAAAATTGACGTGAAAGCTGCAAAAGACGTGATATCCTAGAAATATACATATTGAGCAGTAAGTAGTCTTTTCTGTTAACACATCAGTTTCTTTTCACCAGATTCATAAAACAGCACATGCATTTAATGTCCAGGTTTTACAACTCAAAAGAAAATGGAGCCATTTTAGTGCTCTACAGAAAGGGCAAGAGCAACTGAATAGTTCTTTATAGTGCATGAGCAAAATAATATGCAGCATCACCATGCAAAAACCATCTTGCAACATACATTTGTTACTTCATGTCGTATTATATTTGAAGACATTAGCTACCCAGTTTCTGCCATCCAACAGGTGCATATGAAGTTAAATTTCTTTTTCCTTTTTTCTTTCCCCCTGTTACGAACTAAAGTGAAGATATAGAGAATTAACAAGAAGAGAAAAAGTTAAAGAGAAATTCAATATTCTTGGGCCTCAAAACCACAAAGAAGAATAATATAAAGAAGAAACAAAAACACAGAGAGAAAGAAAGAAGTCTAGTAGATTTCATGAGAAAGTAAAGTAGTACAACACAAGAAAAAGTTAGAAAAAAATCATCAATAAATGCATAGCACTTACTCATGGTCATAAATGCTTTTAGGTAGGCCCATAACTGAATGTGAATTAAAATGCGTCCTGCGATGTATTTCGTACACATCAGCATTTCTTTTCACAAGATCTGCCTCTTTCTCACCTGACGTCAGGTGACTACACACGAAACAAAAGAGTGTCTGATATACAGACATGCTAACTGATATTGATCCCTGAAGGAAAAAAGTTTTAATAGAGTTTAGGATTTACATGTGATTAATTAAATGAAGGACATTAGACATTGACCAACTAATTAGATTATTCTTAACACTCATTTGCATCCATAAGCACTCATGTATCTATTTCACATGAGGATGAAACATGATTACAAGAAAACAAAGAAAAATGAAAATGTGGATGAAGAAAGTCGGTTTGGTTCACTTCAACTACCAAGCCAAAAGTGATCCAACATGGTGTTGTTATGCCATTTGACAAGATATTACCATCAAGGTTATTACTGAGATAGTATGTTACAACCTATGTATGATACTAGCATTATCTACTGAAAGGTTTACATGAACTTGCGAAACCCCTAAAGGATTTAAACTTGCATTTTATTAGCAATTTAAACCACAATATTCAAGAGGTTCAAGTAACAAGCATGTTGGCCGCACTGAATTGAAAGTAAAGAAAACCCAAACACTGATTTTAAGTGGAGAAAAAATCTATCCCTGGAAGTCGATGTTTATTTTATATGACTTAAATTAATAACTCAGCCAAGTAGAAGATGCACAAGGTGCCCAAATCCCCATTTCCTAGGTTAAGCTTGCACCCTCACTGAGACTATAGAAGCCACGCAGCAACTAATGTAGAATAAATAACATGTATAATATCAAGAAAATCCATGCTTCTTCATTCACACATATCATCGAAACTCCCATCAAGGGAAACACTTACCTAATACTGGAAAAGGAATAAAAGAAACCAGAATAGGTCAGCTTTTCAAAATTTCGGCCAGATAATTATCGGAGCAACAAGTTGAACAGAATAATTGATATCCAAGCTTATGTTTTCCTCCCAGAAAGTTTAAATGCTTCTTTCCACACCCATCCTCCCCCAAAGATACCTTGGCCTAAGAGTGGATATTACTCCTTAGTACAGGTAAAACAAGATATATAAAACTGCAATACTACTTGATGGATGAAACTCTAGTAAGAACACTACAAAAGTATTAATCGCTTCCTGTCAAATATCATGAGCTCAAAGTCCTTACTCAAGCCAATACAAGAAGCCTCGTATTTTTCTTGACAAAGTCATTGTTGTATTAAGCATACTTTTTGGTCTACAGGGATGGCTGCATAGTGTCACTCATGACCCCTATACATTGGATCAGTCCAACAAGCATGAAACCATTGGGCTAGTGGCCCAATGGCATAAAGCCTCACACTAATTTCATCTATTCTGGTGCATTTAAGCCAAAAAATGATCCAAAAGTAAAGGGATGTAGCAAGAATGTAATCATACTCCAGTTGAAATAGTTTGCAAATGCCATGTGAAACTGAATGCCACTAATCCATCTGTACATGCAGACAGATAACATTGCATGTTTTACTATGATCAACACATTGCTAAAGCATGACATGGCAAATGAGTAGCAACAAAAATAGAGATCATCATACAATATTCTAAAATTATCACAAGGGGAATGATAAGAGAATGTGGTAGTGAATGCAGAAGAATTATTGAAAGTAAGTCAACATTTGACCAGAAGCAGACCTTGTTACCTATGTATCCCATTGCACCCACACCAACAGTCGACACACTTATGTTATGTATATGCTTTCGCAAGTTTCTCCGGACCCATATGCTAAAGAAAACTCCAACCATTTGTTTGCTTACTATCCTCACAAATGCTGGCCTTCTTTTTCTTTTTATTAAGAATTCAAGGTCAAGTTCCGCAAGCAAAGCTGCATCTGATTGTTTTCTATTTTGAATATTCATACCAGACTTCAAAGAACTATATTTTCTGTAGGATTTTGAAGCTTTGAATGACTTCATTGATTTGAAAGAATTAGGTCTCTCCAAAAGATGCTGAGACAGAAGATCAAGAGGTGCCTCTGGCCAGCAAAAACCTATTTTTTCTGTTCCACTCAGGGTTCTGAGTAATTTACGGTCGAACTGCTTATTTGGCTCTTCAGTTTCTTCACTATCTTCTGTTCTAAAGCATTTCAACCTATCCAGCTTTTTTGGAGAAGAAAACTGTGTCTCCAAATCTTGGTCAATGGCTGAGAAATCATTCTTATGGCTGTAGAAAGAAACATCTGCATTCATAGCTTCATTTTCTTCATTGACTGGTCCAACCATGTGTCCATCAAAACCACTGGTTTCATCATTTACGGGATAGATTTCCTCCTCTCCATCACTGTCAGATTCAAGAATGATTTCATCTTCTATATCTGGGGCATCTTCGGCTGGCTTAAACCTTGAAGGAGTAGGAGGATCACTGAAGCATTTAAACTTAGTCTTGGCTTGGATTTTACTAAGAGATTGGCGGATGATATCTTCCCACTTTGAAACAGGTCGGCTGTCTTCAGCACCAAAGATATTTCCAGCGTTTAGTGGTATAATCTCCTGAAATCTGGGGAAGGAAAGGTTGTATAGTTATCTGATTCACAGAGTAATGTAATTCCATGATAATTACTGAAGCTCTAGCAGCAAGCAACCAATGAACATGACACATAAATTGAGATCACGCGGATCCAGGGAGAGGCATTGAAAGGACAAATCCATCGATAACTTACCCAATTACATAAATATCAGCAGGCTCATTGAGATCTAACCAACCGTCAAGGTCTAGGTCATCAGGAGGAACTCTTCCAGCAACATTCCATGTACCGGCACATATTCTAAACATCAAAGCCATAGGGAGAAAAATTGCATGAGTATTTAGTGAATTATTCTAAGATCAGCTTATCCATTTGAGAAGATAATTCAGCACCAATGAGTTTATTTGATCTTATTATGCAAGGGAACATACTTGATTTCCTTTTTATTTATATATTGTGCTCTGAATGTCTCTGACTTGCGTCGCCTTAACGTGGGAAGAGCATCTGGAGACAAATCGTATCTTAATTGTGAGCAAAGGAAAAAAATCCACAACTTTAATCGAAGATAACTGTTAGAAATTGAAAGAAAATGACCTAACTGATTATAAGCATTGAGTAACCTTGAACATAGAATCAATTAATTTTCCTTCCTTTTTTGTCCTTTTTCCATTTAACTAGAAGTTTCCTGTTTAACAGCCTTTACAGAAACAATCGCAACAAAAGCTGTTTGGATGTTACAACAGTACAATCCAGCAACGCCAAACACAGCCGTTCGAAGAAAACAGTAAATGCCAAGACTTCATATTGGGTGTAATCTACAGAATTTGTGGATTCATTAGCCTGTACAATCCCCTAGAGCAATTTAAACTGGGCTACCAATTGTATTTACATTTACCATCAAATTCATCACACATGAAGATGACAAACGATCTATTGTACTCTGACAACTGTGATTCGGTCATTTTTTCTTTTCCTGAATTCTTCTCATAACATCAAAACAAGTCTCCTGGTCAGTATTATCACCCAATACTCCCCAACAAAGTACATTTCTTCTTTGTACCAAAAAATTTTTTTTTGAAAAGCTTCAAGGAGTTCCTACTGCACAGTATAGAATATTTCAAGTAACTAACTGTTACCTTAAGAAGCTTCTCCAGAAGTTCAGAAACAGACTTCATATACGCTAATTATATCCCTAATCTACGTAAAGGCGTCAATATAACTTTTCTGGTATCCTATCACACGATCAACAAATTTAATACCAAATCACATGCATAAAGATGTCAAGAGTACACTAAGTCCAGCTCAAGACCTTTCTCAAAGCAGCATTAGAGTCATCAGAAGCTCAAAAGGGCAACATTCACGTTACCAGAAGCTCAAAGGGAACGATGCATAAAAGTTCATCAAAGCTGAAAAGTCAAAATCTGAACTTTGGACTACTATTGCCAGCAACTTAGAATATTACCATTAGCATCAAGCTGAACTTGTCCACCTCTATCATCCTTAAACCTTGATTCCCTCCTCGGCCAGTCACAGAATTCTACAACAACATTATTTAAAGAAAAATAATTATAAGGCCATGACCCCACCAAAAAACAAAAAGAACCCACACATATGAAAATCATAATTTGGAGCAATTCAGCAAATGGGAAAACAATGGAAAAAAAAAAAACACTAACCATCGTCTGAGACGTCGGAGCCGGAATCAGACTCGGTATCGGCGCTGTAATCGGACTCTTTAGTCGGAATGTTGAGCCATTTTCGCATCACAACTCGACCCCAGAAAAGCTGCAGGCAGGTGCAACCGAAACACAATATTTCAGCCCAACTTCTCTGCAAATCTTCTTCTCAAGTCAAAAAAAAAAAGAAGAAAAAATCAAGAAAAATAAACACGCACACACACAGTAAAGTACCTGTTGCTGACGACGGGTTGAACTCTGCCTCATTTTGAAGAATTGAATGAAGAACTTAAAAAAAGCTATGGAATGAAAAAAAAAACAAAAAAAAAGGGTAAAATTGAGGTAAAAATGTTAGCAAGAACCAAGGAAAAGAATGAGGGAAGAGTTATGGGATGGCGGGTAGATTAACTAAAGTAACTAACGCCTAACCCTTTTTTTTTTTTTTTTTTTAAATACGAACGGGACGGTGCGAAAGTTTGACTATTCAAATTTCTTCAATTTTTGGGTTAATTATTGATGGCAGTGGATTAGATTAGGGGTAATAAATTTTGATTAAAATGGTGAGGTGGAGATTAATTATGACACGGAGGGAAAATTTGATTTAGGGCAGGAATCATGTGAAATGTGGCCATAAAGTAATTAATGCATATGTCATGTGTATACAATAATAGAAATACAAAAATTTGAAATTTTTTTCTTTCTTTCTTTTTTTTTTTAAAAAAAATTTGGTGGTGTATTATGTGGAAGGACTGAACTAGCTGAGTTTTAGAAAATTATCATGCTTTCCCTTTTAAAATTTTGAAAATTTTAAAAAGTTCTCATGTATTTTATATTATTTGCGCCCCCTCCCTAAAAATTTAGAAAATTTTATGTTGCTTCAAAAATTCATATGTACATGCATTTTGCCCCCTTAAATTAAAATTTCTAGTTCTATAAGTACTGATGAAACAATTGTATGCCTTTTTCTAATCCTCAATCAACTGAAAGCATACGGATCTCTGGGTCACTATCCGATGCCAATCTCACTTGTCAAGTGAAGGTAGAAGAAATTTATATAAACAACTAAGTTGAAACTGGAAAAGTGGCACTAATTCCATGCGCAAACATCAATGTGTGTACTAGAAAGATGCCATAAATCACTAGCATGTTTATGTGCTTTCCATTTTTTCTATTTTTTTTGTCAATATATGTATAATTACGAGGAATCTCGATTTTTATTTCTTTAAGGTGAAGGCAATTAATCCTCCAAGTTATCAAAAAAAAAAAAAAAAGAATATCCAGACAAAATCCATTAAGCAAGCATGTTTGGACCATTTTCCAAAGTAGCGGTGAAAGACACAAAGCTGAAAATGATCATCTTTTGATTTTTTAATCTTTATTTCAATTCAACTTTCAATATATGTAGAAAATGGATTATAGTAGAAAAAAAAAAGTGCCAGAAATGCAAGTGAAAACTGGAAAGTGATAACTTGAAAAGAAACCACTTTTGGTTGAGACAACGAAACTGGGGCTTCTCCAACTATAACACTGCAAAGTGTAATGGTCCAGAACTTAAACTACAATAATGTAAAATCGCAGATAATGATGGAGGGTTCCACTTCCTAATAAAAAGCCAAAACCAACCAACTGGTGACGAAACAGACATACTATCTCCATTTTTCTACACCCTTTTTTTTCTTTTTAATTTTTTGGGGTTAAATTCTTCGAAATTAAAAGAAGAAGAAGAAGAAAAAAAAAAAAGAAGAGTTTGGTCAATTTGCACTTCTGTTTTCTTGTATTTTTTGTTGTGCTGAGACCCCATTACAATGACTTTTCATAAATAGGTTATGAACAAAAAAAGATTCTGAGAGTGGGTCTATATATATATATAATTCAGCAGCTTGACTCGGTCAAAGTCATTATAAATTAATTTCAAAGGAATACATAGATTCCTCTTCTAACATGAGGATTTAATTTTATATCATGTTAACTCGTTTACTTCTCTTGAATCACTCGAAGAAATTAAATGCCTCTTACTTATAAAAAATCAATAAAAAATTGAAGAAATTAAATAATTACTAGGCAAATTTTGCAGGAAAAAAATGCGGATGTTCTCACTTTTAAGCAGTTGTAAATGGTGTAAACTCATAGCCAGTGTGTAAAAGTTCAATGCAACATGAGGAATGATACTTTTGATTTTTTTTTCTTTTTGGGTGGGAGAAAAGAGTTGGTTTTGTGAATGGACTTGCACTTGAATATAAAAATTTAATGCCTAAACAGATGGTAGAAATATGCATATGGCAATTGGCTATAATTTAATTCCACTGAAGAATATCTCCACTCCGTCAAGTGATCTACTAATAATGGTGTCATGCTGGAATATTCAACACAATACGGTTAGGCGGTATGGCCGCAAACTGCGCTATTTCTGGATTTTCTGTAGGAAAAATATACTGTAATGATTTGATATATGTGAGATAAAAAAGTGTTTAAAAAATCTAGTTACGAAAAATGTCAAAAAAAATTTTGTGATAAACTTCAATCCTAACCAGACCTAAACCATCTGACCAGGAAAATTGCCCCCTTTACCTTTTTACTGTGTTACTCATGGTCAAAATATTACAATAAAGGTTATGTCAAAGTCTACAGATCTTGGTTTACAGATTCACTAATAAGAAGAGGATAGTTATGACACCGTGAAGTCAAGAATTTATGAAAGAGTAACCCTTGTTTTCCACCAGACATGGAGGTTATTTATGAGCAAAACTTTGTGTTAGTCTAGTTAGAGGAAGAATAAATTGCCTTTTATTTGAGTTTCAGTATAAATTGATGCTTGTGAATTCGGAACAACAAGGTGGTGGTGTTCATCACATTTGCTCCACCATACATGCGAATTCATTAATAAAATTGTAGGATTAAAAATGTGCAAAAAATTGAAATGTCTAGTTCAACACGAAAATAAAAATAAAAGTAATAGAAAACACACACACATACATACATACATACACACAAGCATGAAAGGAATTACCCCTTTATCTCTTTTAATTAGCTAACGATTCAAGATTTTGCTTTCAAACATGAAAGGAATTAATTTTTAAACACGGTCAATATAGAGATTTTATTTACACAAGTTGGATGCCATTAGAAGGATTGATCATTGAAGGAACACAAGAAGGGCCCAAAGGTCTACATGAATAATCTGATGTACCTTTTACTGTGTGAACTGCTGACAACTGGAAGCTGATTCTTTTGGGAAAATTTCAGAAACCTCTCTCGAGGTTTCTGACATTTTCATTTGACACCCCAAAACTTTAAAAAATGTCACTTAGCTTTTCTACTTTAAACCCTTTTGTAACATTTGAAACCCATTTGAAAATATAATATCAAAAAGCTCATTTTGGGAGACAGAATATATGTATATATGAATGTATGTGTGAATATATATATATGTTATTTTTGCACAAAGTTTATTTTTGTTGATCACTAAATATTGAAGCTTATATACACAAGGAATGTACAGATTCCAACTACATACTACTAAACACTATTGAATGCGCAGGCAATCATAGATTAAAACACACGAAATCAAGAAACATTTAATCATGACAAATGACTTCATATATTGTTGTTGTCGTTTATTAGTTCTCCTTCCATTGTCTTTAACTCTTAACCTATATCAGGGGGACAAGTAACCTAATTACTATAGCCAACTGGGGTCAGAAGAACTCACCAATAAGATAACTTCAAATGAGTGAAAAGCTTGCCTTCTTAATTTGGTCAAAATTTCTTGGACAAATCTTCAAACCAACGTATGGTGATTCAATTACCCTATTTGCTCACAGGAAGTTGTCCTGAGGGAGCAAAATTGTCAGAACTGTATAAACACCTTATTTTATTCAAGCCATCTTATCCTTTCCTATAGTAGAAGGTGATGAATCCAGAAGCTCTCTCTCGGAAGTCGATAGTGTTAAAAGAATTAGCACTGCCAATCGGGATTAGGAAAAGTGAAAGGCAATCTCGATCAAGAAAAGGGTTTAAACAATGAAAAAACCTTGTCAAAAAGACAACCAGAAAGGTCTACTGTGTGTGGACTGCGTGTACACAGTCAGATAAAAGCTAGCAAAGATTCAACAAGGAATCTGATCAGAAGGAAGTATTAAACAAAGTGGCTGCATAAAGTGCTAAAAGCCTAAAATCAGTATCTTTACTTATATATTCAGTATATTGGTCCAGATGTAATGTAAAGACAGAACTTACCTTTCGAACTCTAGGAACTAAAGTGGAAGGTTTGAACCCTAGCGACCTCTGCAATTAGATGCTTGGACTTCTGCTTCAATGGCGGCTGATTCTTGATGCTGGGAAACTGAAGAAGGAAGGCAGCTTTGTATGCATAAAATAGTCAAATGAGCTTTCAATGCAGGAGACTCCACATGCACGTTATTTATAGATCATCTATATCCAACCACGCTAAGCCACGCGTATTCATGGTTTAGATTTTCAATCAGTTTTTTCAGGGATTTGCTAAACCTACCATGTGGCTACAATGTTCTTGTGCAATAACCTAAGTGGTGCCCTTTTTTTTTGCTCATTTGCGGTGAAATATCTTTCTTTTCTTTGCTTTTATCTTTTTTCATGATAATATTGTCACTTTTTAACAATTCAGCTTTTGGAAAAGTAGTTGCAAACTGGCAATTAGGAAATGGGTACATGAGTTGTGGCTAACTGGCCAAGAGAACCAGTACAAGTGGATACAAGCAATTTCACTTTAAAAATAAATAAATAAATCGATCGTCCAAATTTCAGTATAGACCATAAAATTATTGGCTATAGATGAACGTTAATAGCTTGGTATTTAGCTTTTTGAGGGTGAAAATCACTTGTTATGTGTAACACTCACTCGACATTTTCTTATTATTTGGGATAGTGTATTGATAATTTGGAGGAAGCAGTTGTCGTTTTATATAATCAATCATGCAGCGAAAGACCACTTCTGCAGGCAAGAGGGAATGTTGCAATATATCTTCTTGTCTCAATATCATGTCCATAACTGTTAATAGTGGCTGCAAGACAGGCAACCTGCGACCCTGCTTGCCCCCAAGATTGTTGAAGTAATATATTTTCCAGCAAGTCGGTGAACCTCTCAACTGCAAGACTAATAAAAATATATACAAATAAAGCTTCTCCAATGCTACTAAGACACATTGGTCAATTTACAAGCATCACAGTACATGATTCTTGACTGTACAAATTGATTCAATTGGTAATGATAGACTTTTTTTTTTTTTTTTTACAAAACGTCGTGTATTTGATGTGAAAACTGTATTAGTACTGAGTCACCTATAAAAGTCCTTATAAGCAATTTATAGTTTTGGGAATATATTCTGACTCGTAAGGGTAATCGAAACTAAACCAACATAAACCTTTTTTTTTTTTTACCCAAAGGAAAAAAAAAGGTGCTACATGATTCTTTAACACGTAATTGTGGATGGTAAGAATTAGTTCTCATTAAATTAAAAGTGGTAAAATAGAAGTCAAATACTTGTGGGTTGTGAAAAAGTGAAGCTTGTTTGATTTTATCTTTTCTTACCTGTAGAATTGAACAAATGGATTCCATTGATCTGGTCTTTAGAGAGTCCTAGGGCGAGTGCAAGCAACTACACAAGACCCCGTCTTTCCTAACCATTTGATTTGGGCAAGTTGGAAAAGTTTTCTTGTCTACTCTTCTAATAGCTAGCTCAAGGTGTATGGCCATTATCTTGTGTAATTTCATACCATCACAGCTAATAAAAGTTCATAATTTAGAGGGAAAAAGGAAAAAATGTTTGCAATCTAGATATACAAGCATCAAGCTATTTTCTTCTTGATGCTTTGGTGATAAATGACGATCACTAATCACAACCAAATAACGAAAAAGCAAATAAAAAAAGTCTACATAGTTTATTCTATCAAAGCAAAAGGAAATAACAAATCAACTGTATTAGGGCATAAGTGCTTTTTTAGCACGGCATGAGCAAAATACTTCTTTTTCGTGAAACTCGTGCTTAATTTAAAGATGATTTGACAAAAATAAAAAATAAAAAATCAGGGGACAAGTCAAAAATGGCTACTTGTCATTGCTACCAAAAAGTCCACGGAGTTTCCAGCTACCATCCAAGAAGGCCACAATCTATGCCAGTGAATTTCCCTTAGTCATGAAAAAAATCCAGGGATGGTTATGGTTATGGTTATGCATGCATGCTTCGATCGTAAGCAATATTATTATGTTTTCTTGACCTCATTCCGCGTACAACTTTCGGGGTTTGGATCAATTAGTCTTTGAACTGGAGGAGATTTCGTGGCAAGAACTAACCAATCATGTTCGTTTAACTTGACGTTCATCTTGCTCAATTCTAAAGATAAAAAATAAACGAAAGGCTATTGAGTGACCAACTACGTGAATTAATAAAGATATTGAGTCGCTCCACTCACACGCAATTGATTTTGAAACGGAACTCTGAATCTTTTAACAGATGGAACGATTTAAAATTCTTAATCGGAATGTCAATTAAATTTGGAAAAGACAAACCAGTCATTTCTCAACAGTCAATCGGAACACCGATTAAAATTCTTAACAACTGGCCAAGATTCATCTTTTTTGGGGTAAAATTAATGGAAATCAAACCAGTCGATTAGCACAATGATTTGGACAACTTAAGTAAATTAATGAATGGCCGGTGAATGATGTCGACTCCTTCAAATCTGCAAGTGTTTGAAACCCCAGATAAGTCGATCTCCAGAAAGTTCAGATCCTTTTAGGAAAAAAACGTAGTTAATGAATCAGCTCAAATGGTTGAAAGTTGAAATTATTTGTCTGGGGGAAATGGATTGAACAACTGACAGTTGGAAACCACATTTAAGTCAAGATTAACTAATTAATACAAGAATTTGTAGCAACGCAGCATCAACAACCTTATCCTTTTGATTTTTTTTTTTAATTGATGCTGTCTTTCTCTCTCTCTCTCTGGTAAATACCACAATGCTACTTGTCAGTTTTTGAATTATCGATCCCAAATTTTCCATCAAAAATAATTAGCTGCAAATGTTTCACCCTTTTTTTTTAAAAATAATTGCAATAATAATTAAGACCAGGTCTAAACAATATATCTTTTTGTCATTTACATAACTGACAAAAAGGGAAAAAAAAAAAAAAAAGAGAGGAGGAGAGACCAATGTCAACCTCATCATTTCTCAGCATCTGCAAATGTCATTGCCAAATAAATTATAGCAAATTAACAATATACCTCTCTCAAGTCTTAATCTGCTCTGAACCAATAGATTCTTAGATTGAATCTGTCACAAGGTCAAAGTTTGAAGATTATGATGGAGGAAACAAAAAACCAAAACTTCAATAATTCAAAGAATAATTCCCACCACCACTAATTCATTCTTTATCTGGTGACAATAATTAATCATATCCTCATAAACTTAATTAGATTTCTAACAGTTACATTCTGTCCAACCTTCATTACTTAATACCCAATTTTCATTTAATTTTCTGGAATGAAAAAAAAAATTTAAAGTGTAACGAATCATACGTGAGTAAATGTACCGACGGCTTCGTATATTGCCTTGTGGACGAATAGCACAGCTCATATTATCCTCTCCTTGTCTGAAAAAGACTGATTAAGACTAGATTTTTTAAAAAAAAAAAAAAAAATTTGCATGCTTGCTTACTTAATACAAATTTGATGTTTTTCTTTTTGTCAAAATTGACACCTTCTTTCTACAATACTAAAAGTTGCTCCGTTTTTTATTCTTCAACTAAAAATTTCAATGATAATTTAAAAGAAAAAAAAAAGCAGCGAAGACAAAGTGATTACAGTGCAGAACAGCAAAGATGGTCTGTGTTAAGGAATCGAGATGGAAATAAATAAAAAGAAAATGGAGTGCCCACAAACCGGAATTGTCTCCTCCTTCCACAACTGGAGTGTGTTGAATGTGTCTCTGTCGTTGATAATAAAAACCAGCAATTAGGTTTGGCAAATTCAGTTCTTTCAGTCAAAAAGAAAAATGAATGTTTTTCTGTGCATTGTTCTAAACTTTAAGTGCGAGTTAACTACGTGTTTCTAGTCATCTCTTCTCCTTCCTCGTCATCTCTTCTCCTTTCTCGCTTCTTAAAACTCATCTTTTATATATACTTTTATGTTTTAGGAAAATATTTATTTTGATCTGATCCCGTAAGCCAACATGTTTTAAATATTTATACTTTTCTAAGAAAAGTATAAATAGCAATAAAAATGGTACAATAAAGTAAAGGACAATCTATAAGATCAAGTTTACTTGAGTATCTGTCTATGATGCATGTGCCTATGTCCAATCATTACTTCATTGGCACTTGTTGTCCGAGTATATAAACATATGAAACTACGTTTTACTTCTGAGCAGGACTTGGAATATTATGGCAATGAATCAAGTTTCAGAAGGAAAGGAAGAATGAACAATCTTATTTTTTTACACATTAGCAAATTAGAAAAGAGAATTATTACCTTCAATCTTACAATTTATCCCACCAAAAAGGTATTAAGTAGAGAAAGTTTATAATAAAACTTGAAGACAAATTAATGAAAGACATAAGGTATAAGAGCAGTTAAACATGTTGGATACTTCTAAAGAATCAAGTAAAGGGAGATCTTTTTTTTTTTTGTCGAAACGATAGATGTCCTATAACCTAATCTAGCCTAGTCTAAGGGGAAGGGGAGGGGGTTCGATGTGAGTACAGACTCCATCGATGAAGGTCAATTAAAACCGCCACAAATTGTGGCAAATTTGTGGGAGGCAGGGATTGAACCCCTGACCTCCAGCATCACCTTTAATGGTGATGACCACTGGACCAAATGGCTAGTGGCAAGTAAAGGGAGATCAATTGTTTATAATGTGGGTAAAAGTAGAAGAAAAGAAAGTTCCTTTAGAAACCCTTTACCCCACCTTAAAAGACCTAATATATCCTAGTTGTAATAATATACAGCAGCCAAAAAATCCTGTTTTCTTTTGTTCTTTATAGCTAGTATTTTGTTTTGCCATTTCTTTTTCTGCTCTTTCTGAGTATAACTTATTTCTCTGTTGATCCCTGCAAAATGAACGCATTCGGTTCCTTCAACAGAAAGATATCCAAAAATGTTTCTAACCAACAATTTCTGCATAAAGTATTTTCAACGTAACCTGTAAGAATATTCTCAAGGTTTGGTGCTCTATAGCTAGCTAGCACTGGGGTCCAGTTTCATTCACGCATAATTGTAGTTGGTTATTCTTTTGATATCTCATTTTTTCAAATAATATGTCGCGTGCATCATAAACACATTTTTCAACTCACCTTTTTATCTCATATAGATTAAATCACAAAAAATGTTATAGTAATTATTCCAAATAATATTTCAAA